ATGCAGCATTTGCTCTGTTGCAGGTGGCTCGCCCCGTAGGAGACCTGCTCACGTGGCTCGGACCAGAGCTAAACCCATTCCCACACAGGTGAGCTCAACTCTTGTTTGACTATTTCGTTATCGGATACGAGCCTAGGTATTTCATTGTGTTGCTATGCGACAGGGAGGAGGAAGAGGCTTATGTTTACCTGTGTTGCTATGTGACAGGGAGGAGGAAGAGGCTTATGTTTACCTGTGTTGCTATATGACAGGGAGGAGGAAGAGGCTTATGTTTACCTGTGTTGCTATGTGACAGGGAGGAGGAAGAGGCTTATGTTTACCTGTGTTGCTATGACAGGGAGGAGAAGAGGCTTATGTTTACCTGTGTTGCTATGTGACAGAGAAGAGAAAGAGGCTTATGTTTACCTGTGTTGCTATGTGACAGGGAGGAGGAAGAGGCTTATGTTTACCTGTGTTGCTATGCGACAAGGAAGAGGAAGAGGCTTACAGGGAGGAGGAAGAGGCTTATGTTTACCTGTGTTGCTATGCGACAAGGAAGAGGAAGAGGCTTATGTTTACCTGTGTTGCTATGTGACAGGGAGGAGGAAGAGGCTTATGTTTACCTGTGTTGCTATGTGACAGGGAGGAGGAAGAGGCTTATGTTTACGGTGACCTGTGTTGCTATCTCACAGGGAGCGAAAGACAGGGAGCGGAGTGTTTCCCTGTGTGGTCATCCGATAGGGGGGATAAGGATGCTAATGTTAACCCGTGTTCCTATGCAACAGGGAGAAGCGGCTAATGTTTAACTTGCTAATGTTATGCCACAGGGAACAGGACGCAGCATCCAGTGCGGCCTGCCTCGCGAAAATCTTCGACGCGTCCGAGAGGATAGCAGCGAACTTGTCCAACGCACCGGCATCTGCTCAGCCGGATCCGCCTCCCGCCGTCGTAGAGGTAACTCCCGATCTGTACGCCAACTTCGCCGACGCTGACTCGTCCACGCCGGTCGAGCGGTCGAGCTTTGCACGCGCTCCGCCGGCCGTCGCAGTGGTGGCGGCGCGGGGACCGGCACCCGGCGATGCTGGCGGGCGATTCGAGGCGTTGCTGCGGGCGGCGGAC